ATGAAGCTCCAGAATCCAGAACCCATGACTCCAACGGACTGCTCACGCTCAGGAGATCATCGCCAGATGATTCTGCCACTGCATTGTCGGATGTCTTCTCCTTCTGATCCTTGATATGCTCCTTGCACTGGCTCTTGAAGTGTCCGTACTCCTCATAGTTCCAGCACTTGATCTGACTTCTGTTCTTCTTGCCATTGTTGTTTGACTTGGATTTGGATCTTGATCTATCCCGATTTGACTTGGACTTCGACTTCGTTCTGCCCCGATTCTCTGTACTCAACGCTGATCCAGAAGCTAAGCCTGATTCCTTCCTGCGAATTTCTTCGCTAACCACAAGGTTTCTGACTTCATCAAATTTCAGTTTCTCTTTCCCTGCCGAAGCGCTGACTGCAATCACCGTTCCGTTCCAGCTTTCTGGAAGTGAAGACAGCAGGATAAGGGCATGAATTTCGTCATCGAATTTTATATCAACCGCGCTCAACTGTGTGGTGATCACATTGAACTCGTTGAGATGATCCCCCATTCTCGTACCTTCTGACATCTTCAGGTTAAAAAGACGCCTCATCAGATGAACTTTGTTCACAACGGATGGCTTTTCGTACATATCCGACAAAATCTGCAACATCTCCTTCGTCATTTTTGCTTTGACGGTATGTAGGGCGATGTTTCTGGACAGCGATAATCGAACCACGCTCATCGCTTTTCTGTCCTTCAACTTCGAGTCGCTCTCCTTCAAGTCTTCCGGCTTATCATCCAGAGGTTGATACAGATCTCTACCGTACAGGTAATCTTCGATCTGCAACTTCCAGAATCCGTAATCCGTTCCGTCAAACTGCATCACCGGTGTCTTCGAATTGTCAGCCATCGTGAGATTTCCCTTCGAACCCAGGGCTCTGATACCAATTGTGTTAGGAACTCACGAACGCGATGAATAATAAGAAGAACACATGAAAATTTGGTAACTCAGTTCGCCACGAATGACTACGTCTGGGGGCACTACCAATCCAGGAATATTATTGCTATTTTCGGATCCACACACCATGATTACAAGGGAGGGGTCTTGTATTTATAGAGAAGTAAATCCTAACCCCAAGACAACTAGGATGTGTTTCCTAAAATAAATTAAGAAACGTGTTTCCAAAAATAAATTAAGAAACTGTCTCTAACACCTTACACTATTGGCTTTATACAATTTTTAATCTCATTGATTTTTTTTTCTTCTCTTCACAGAGCGCACCTCCTTCCTCATCATCATGACATCATTCGATCAGCTCTTCCATTCTCCCCACATCCCATTTTTGTTCTTCCTGCCTGCTTCGCTCTTGCTGCCCACCTTCTTACAAATGTTCATGAGTTTTCGACCTAAAAATTAGAGTCTGCACTCTCCCCACACAGTTGTTCTTTGATGCCGGCCCTCCGTCACCCTCAGTCCCAGTCGTCTGTCCAATTTTTGTCGATCGTCCATGATGAACAATGTCTAATTTGATTTTGGATTGACCAAATTAACTTTTCAAGTCTGAAATTGAAAGAAAGAATTCAAATCTGAGCATGGCCGAAAACCTAAATACGGAGTAAAACTAAATGAATTTAAAGGTGGGAAGGAGATAATCATATGCCGTAGATGGAGAACATAAAAAGATGAAGAAATATAATAGAGGGGAATAATTCATGGCTAGAGCAATCCTGGATCTGGAAACCATGGCTACAGCCCAAATCATTTAACTTCTTCCTCATTGGTGTGTTGCCCGTGAATTCTGCATTAGAATGGAAAAGAAAAACAAATGGGGAAGATAGCTTTAGGCAGAGGCCTCTATCCGTTTACTTTCCTTCCCTTTTTTTTCTTTTTTTCTTTTAAATTTGTTTACTTGTTTAGTAAGTAACAGGTCATGGCGGATCAATATGAGAAGATTACCCATGAATTTCAGATTATTTCAGAATTATGTATACTTGGGATTAATATTAGAAGACATTGTATAGTTTGGATTATTTATGTGAATTTTTCCTTTATTTAATTAATAAGTATATAATATCCAAGTAAAAATCGTATTTTATGATTTGTAGGAGAAAAATATAATTTATTTTAAATTTTCAAAAAAGTAATATATTCAATGACTAGTTTGGAGTGATTCATCATCTAGCATTTATTTGTAACTCTAAAATATAAGTAGTCATATTTTTGTACGGTGAAACCTTATTAGCAATATGCAGAGCCGGTCCTTCCCCTAGGCCTGTGAGGCTTGGGCCTCAGGGTTCCCAAAAAATTTAAAAATTAGGGGCCCAAAAATTTAAATGTCTTTTTATTATATTTATGTATGTATTAAAAAACAGGAGTTATACTGATTGTTAAGCTTAAATCGTTCGCTACAGAAGTAACAAAACACTCGGAACAATAGATCAGTTATCAACCAAGTAGTGAAGTACAAACCCGAACTCCCAAATTTGCCGATATGTCATTATTTCCAAAAAAACTAGCTTTTAGAACGATTTGCTAATTTGATGAGTTAATGATTTGTGAATGATCGAATGAACTAATTAAATTATTAATTTCTATTCTCTATTTGCTATAACTATTGACTAATTCTTATATTATTGGTTGCAATATGAAGTATCTGCATAAAAAATGCTATTTAGAAATTAAAAGCTAGTTGATTCCTACTTGTTAATTTTTACGAAGTAGTGAAGTAGGGCCGTGCCTTGCAAGTGAAATTTTTATATTTGAGAATTGAGATATTTTTTATTTAAGATTATAATGATAAAAAAGTGTGTAAGTTTCAATTGAAAATTAATCAAAAATCTGATTTTTTGTTTATGTTATAATAATGTAAGAATTTATTCGAGTATTGAGTTTTTGCGATATAAATCCTCTATTTGCAAATATGTTGTATTTCAAAACAAATACTATGTATAGGGCCCTTTTATGAAGCTGGACTCAGACCCAAGTTTACGTAGGATCGGCACTGGCAATATGCATGTCAATTTAATTATATTCAACATGTTTAGGCAGATTAGTTATAAAACCCTTTTGCTCCTCACGCTTTCAATATAGTAGCCATGAAACCAATTATACAATCTTCTTATCTTATACGGAGTATGGTGCAAAATATATTAGCCAAGAATCTACAGTACATGAGAGTGCGAAAATATATTACTACAGTACAGTACGGAGTATTAATTATTGTGCTGTGGTACATTTCCAAGACTGGGCATTGTCATTTAACTAGGGGTGGACCGGGCCCGGTCCGGTTCCGGTTCGGGCCTAGGCCAGGCCAAGCCTGGATGGTTAGGGGTAAGGCCCGAAACTGGCCCGGAGTCTACCGGTTCCAGGCCGGGCCGGTTCCGGTTCAATTTTTTTTGCTTTCTTATTTATTTCAACCCCCATCCCCTCCCCCATCCCCAAACCCCTCGGAAACACCCAGCCCAGCCCAACTAAACACAACCCAAACCCAAAAAAACCCAAAAAAAAAGGCCTGAACCGGGTCCGGCCCGACCGGTTTGCCTTTTTCATGACCCGGGCCCAGAACCGCTTAACCCCTCAGACCTAGGCCCGAACTAGAACCAGAACCGGTTTCCTGGGCCAGGGCGGGCGCCCGAACGAGTCCATCCCTACATTTAACCAGTCTTTTAGGTGGGTAAAAACAGTACCCCGCTGGAATGAACACCCACCACTCTTTTAGGAGGGTGAAAAAGTTGTTTGACAGTCCCGGCTAAGCATAGTATCTCCATTCAAAAATAAAGTTACAACATGCAGAACTTTTAGACGGTAAATTCCACGGTACAGCCGGCTGTACCGTGCGAACGGTACAGCCGGCGTTTTAGATCGCAAATCGCAGGGCTCTGGCTTCCATCGCAAATCGCAGGGCTCTGGCTTCCATCGCAAATCGCAGGGCGCTGGTCTTCCTCCGCAGATGGTTCTCGATCTTTGCTCTCCGTTTGGTTTTCCTTCGGTGGTCTTCCTCTGTAGATCTTCCTCCGCTGGTCTTCCTCCGCAGATCTTCCTTCATTGGTCTTCCTCCGCAGATCGTTCTCGTTCTGGCTTCCAACTTTGGGGACATATCAGAAAATTTATGAGCATAATAGAGAATATATGTAATTCTTCAGATGTGAGCATAACAAATGAAACTATGAGCACTGTAGACATTTTAAATGAGTTTTTTGAATGCTCATTCCCTAATTTATGTATACTCATTTGATGTTAGTGCAATACTCATTTTAAAATGTCATATTCATGCATGTTTCAAAATGAGTTTTATGTTAAACTCAAATGAGTATAACGCCCAAAAATAATGAACACGCACAAATGAGTTTTTTAATATTTTGATACTCATTTTGTAATTATGTATGCTCATTTGGTACTGTTTTATGCTCATTTTAAAAGGTTGCACATGTTAAATACCAATTCTCACTTTATAAGTTATGTATGCTCAATAACTATTCATGTTATGCTCGTTTGTAAAATGGCATAACAATGCATATTTCAAAAGTTTAGAAAAAAAGAAGGAAAAGAAAGTAAATTAGAAGAGGTGAAACAAAGATCACGATGCTCATTGTTATGCATGTAATGCTCAACAAAATATGTCACATGCTCACTAGACGTGTTTTAATGCTCATTTAGTACAAGACGCGAATTTCTTGTAAATTACAAAAATGCCACCGTTTTTTTAGTTGTGATATCAGCTTTCTTTTAATAACACGGCGTTCATTATTAGACTCCTGATACTCATTAACATTGGATTCTTGCTCATTAACAGTACACGAATGATCACTTAGCAGAAACCACGATTTTTACATTATATTACAAAAATGTCACCGGCTGTACGGTGAGCACCGTACAGCCGGTTGTACAATGGACGCTTCCCTTTTAGACACATGGGTTAAGAAAGTGAGATAATAAAAGAAAACCGAAACTATCCTCCTTTGTTACTATTGAGGTGAAAAGTAATGTTAAAATAGCAAATTTTAGATTTCTAAGTAAAAGGAAAGGTGAAGTATGAATTCATGTAGGATAAGGATCATTTGTATGTAAATTATATGCTTTAATGTTTTGCAGGGACAAATAACAAATCTAAACCTAATTAATGTGTAACCTTGCACCAAGAAGAAAAATGAAACGAGGCAAACAAGTTTTTATACACACAAAGGGCATAATTCAATTGAAGGGGCTTCGCCACATATTTACAGGAATAAATGAAAATAAGAGGTCTTGCTGTGTCAATACCAATTCTGGGTTTGTTAATACAGGCATTCAGTCAGTAAAGCCTGAGCCCCTAACTACACTCACCCTTCTGCAATATCATCAAACAAACAAACTTTCTCCTCTCAGCCTATTTGCAATGCACTGTTTAGAACAGCTTTGATATAATGTGGCATGACGTCCAGAATGCTGATGTGGCAACTCTAAGAATCGCAGGGTTTTGGTATATTCTGGTTCATGCATTTCCACAACAGCAAGATCATCAGCGAAAGGCGCTCATTAAGAAACTTAACATTCTATTAACTTGAACATAATTGGCAGAATATTCCAACTTCAAAAGCAAGTGCCTAACCATCATATTGTGGAGCATGATGGACAGCTAAGCCCAAGTTTGTGGGCAAAGAAATATGAGGCAAAGAAATAAACAAAAGTACACAAGGAAGAAGCCTGGGGTGAAGAAAGACAGAAAATTAAGACATGTATACATTCCACTGTATGAGTTATGGTAAAGCCGTAAAGATATAGCCTTCTTACAGATATTAATGCACTGTGCCCTAAAACATATAGACAATACACTGTGGCACTATAAGACATCCCCCCCAAAAATGAAAAAGATTAAGATAATCACTCTCAGCCCTCTACTTCACCCTACAAGTTGGAGGGTGAAATGGACACCCACCACTCTTTTAGGAGGGTGAAAAGAATAGAACCCTGCTGGAACTGTAGCACTTTTAGTAATTAAGTATAAGCATGGGTAATGGGCCTAAAGAGAAAATACTGCCCCTGCAGGGGCACTGTGAAAAATAAAATCAATGAAAGTGAATAATATAAAAAAAGTGGCTTACCCAATTGCTGTCGCCCCCCAAGATGCTACATTATAAATGACTTTGCTTCCATCCCACGCCTTACGAAATTTCCCTTTCTTCTTTTTTAAAGAGAAAGTCTTGCTGAGAGCTGTAATAAAATTTAGCTATTAGGCTACAACATTTCTCTAGAATAAATTTAAGGAAAAGGTCAGATCCCACCTTCCTGCAGTTGGGTCGGTGTCAGGTCCTGAAAATATGAGGCAAAGAAATAAATGATGAAGTACACAAGGAAGGAGCAAGGGTGAAGAAAGACAGAAAATTAAGACATGAGTTATGGTAAAGCCGTAAAGGTATTGCCTTCTTACAGATATTAATGCACTGTGCCCTAAAACATGTAGACAATACACTGTGGCACTATAAGACACCCCCCCAAGCCCCCCCCCCCCCCCCCAATGAAGACAATAACAAAACATTTAAAGGTAGAGACTGCCTACCTTGGCCTGTTTAAGTGACAACAGATATGCAGCCATGAAACATGCTATACCCTCCACTATGTCTTCTTGTCGAACTAATACATAATCTTCATTGTCCAACTCAGGATTTGCACCTTCCCACAGATCATCGTCGCTGACCATGTCCCATGAATTGCCTTCTTCTATATAAAACACACAAATTTAATAACTTGCAAATTAGGTGTATTGATCATGGAAGTTCCTCCTAACTAACTAGTTTGTCAGACCATACCAGCGATGTTTTGTGGCGTTGATGCTTGGGCAGTCTCTAGCTTTTGAAGGAAATCTGGGCTATCAACTCTAGATTTCAGGAGATCACATAACTGTGTAATAAAAATAAAATAAAATACATAAAAACAAACCAAAATAACTGATGTATCAAGAAAAAACAATAGAACAGCAAACAGCAGGGAAATTTTCCAGTTCCTAATCTCAACCCGTTTTCATACACAACGTAAAAGAGAAAGTCACATTGCCATATTACATAATTGTTAATTAGTAGAATCCTGTGGAAACTTGTCCACTTGAATAGGTGAATCAGTATAATTAGAATGGACATAACAAGATTAAAAACTGTAATAGGCAAATGAGGATCGAATGGAGTAACATAATAAGAACATGGGATTGATTTTCTACCTAATCAACCGAAAGGCAAGAATAATGTAGTCTTGTAGTCATACATTAGTAACCACATAGGATCCAAGTATGACTTTAAAAGATGAGGTTAACTTGATGCAAATAGAGCCTACATCTGTATTTATTTAATGCAAATAAAACATGATTCTATCATCAACAACAAAATACAAGCCTTAATCTCAAAAGAGTTTGGGGTCAGCTAACATGAATTGACATATTATATCGGAGTTAAAAATAATAAATAATACATAGTAATACACAGAGAGAAAGGGAGACAAAGAAAATCAGTTCAATCCTCCACACATATACTTTATTTCCACTTCGTTCTTTTCAAACTCATACTCTCATCTAAACCAAGAAGTGTCATATCATTCTTCATCACTCTAATCTACGTTTGTCTAGGTCGTCCCCTACCTCTCCTACCTGACCCTCTCCTCACCTCTCAATTCTTCTAACATGTGCATTACTTGATTTTCTACACAGTACACACATGAGCAAACCACATGTTTGTCTAGGTCGTCCCCTACCTCTCCTCACCTCTCAATTCGTCTAAAATGTGCATTACTTGATTTTCTACACAGTACACACATGAGCAAACCACCTCAATCGACTCTCTCACATCTTATCTTTAATATGTGTTACTCTTACTATTTATCGAATTGCATCATCCCTCAAACAGTCTTTTCTAGTATGTCCATACATCCAATGCAATATGCACATCTCAGCCACATTCATCTTTCAATTTGCCTTTGTTTCACCGCCCAACACTACGTTAAAATAAAACATGATTCTATATTTGAAGCAATTAATTAAAGGTGCTTTTTAGTAAACCAGCTCAGCTAAAATAGACGCACAGATAAAACACTATTCCATCTTTTAAAATAGACGCACAGATAAAACACTATTCTATCTCTCAAACACTATTGTATAAAGATGCTGATTTGTGAAACCTGCTCAAATAACGGAGCACATGAGGCAAATGCAAGACCACTCTGCTAGCATAGTAGCATGAACCTTCCAACTTAATAGATATCTAAACTAAACTAGTAAGCGTACTCCTACTGGATGAAAACGAGATTGAACTCAAAACTTTAAAAAGAAAAGAAAATGTGAATGACCTCTTCGGCCTCGGCATCAGAAGAGGGCGTGAATGAGCTCTGACCATTTTCCGCTACAGCCTCCTTCCTAGCATCTCCCACATAATCTTCGTCTTCTTCCTCAGTACATCCGGAGGAATTGAGGAGCTCAAGAGCTCTCTGGCACTGTTGGAGCACCGTCTCCAAGGTCTTTCTCTTCACGCGAAGAGGATCCCTCTCCGAATTGGCTCTCAATAACCGGATCTCCTTCTCATCCCCGCCGGCGACCGCCAAATCCATGCCACCGCAACAATTCACAGCCACCGGAGGAAGGGATGATAATTGATGATGAATCCGAATTCCGAATGGCAAAGGATTGGAGGTGGGATCTTAGCCGGGTCGGGTCCAAATTAAATTAGAGAACAATAATAATTTAAATTTGGGGTTTAGGGTTAAATAGAATTTTGTTACGCATTTGGCGTGAGCCACCTTTTTAAGTTTCAGATGGGCAATCATATACTCCCTCCCGCAAACAATTTTCCACTAGGTGTGTATCGTGAGAAACTGAGAAGGGTTATGTCATACCCTCACGCCTAAAATGATGTTAATTAGGCTTAAATTTTAAATAAAAAATGTGTGAGATCATGTAAATTATATGCATTGAAATGTTGCTGTGAAATGTAATTGGCGAACTCTCGTTACTCCTGGTAATTAGTCTCTCTTTTTCATATATAAAATATAAATCGCGTATATGCAAAATATAATTTAAGACAACTCGAGATGTAAATCGTATTAATTGAAATGTAATTTGAGATAACTTGAAATGTAAGTGACGTTAGTCGAAATATATCTTCAAGCAAGTCAAAATGTATATGTACGTCGTGCATATGGAGGCATGGAGCATTGGAGCTCAATGTATTATCAAATATCAAATATTATTTCATGTGTCATGTATAGCTAAGTGTAACTCACGCGTATTGAATATGTAACTCGCGCAATCACGCATAGATAAATGTACTTCTATGTATTATCAAATGTAATTTTAGGAATCGTGTATAAATGTAATTCGCATATATGCAAATGTAAAATGTACATATAAAAATGTAAAACGTACATACGAAAATGTAATCTCATGTACTCCTCTGTCTCAATATTCTCATGTTTTGACTTTGCACGCAGATTAAGAAAATGAGAAATATATGGCCTTAAATTGTGCAAATGAGAGAGATAGTGGGACAAATGATATGATTCACATATTTTTTTGCCAATAAATGAAAGAGAAGCTTATATTGGGACGGACAGAAAAGAAAATAATAATGAAGATAATATTAGGACGGAGGAGTATCATTAAACATAAATTGAAATAAACAAATTCAATGTCTTAAAAACTCACTAAAAATTTACAAGAGGGAAAAAGTATACTCCTATTAGAGGGGGGGAAAAGTTTATGAATATGTTAAAATATACTCTGTATTACAGAAACAAGTGTATGCATATAAAAAAGATATTACAAAAAAAAGTGTATGAATATGAAATGCAATATAATGACACTTAGTTTATTAGATTAATATTTTTTTGTTATGAATTGATTAAAAAAAATTAATTGTAATTTTAAGTTAAAGGTAAAAGAGTAAAATCGTGATTCATTTTTTAGCACTTTGATGGAGAAGGAGAAAAAATTGAAGAAGAAGAAGAAGAAATCGGAAAAATAAATCAAAATGAAAGAAACGGTTGATAGGGAGTGCATGCAAATTTTACGTGTCATTTCATGTATGAGAATGGGAGAAAGACATACATAAGACTAAAACTTATACACGGAAGCTAAATATGACCTAAGGCTTTTTAACTCACATCTAGAAATAATTTTTTTAAAAAAGGACAAAAACACCCTTATTCATATATATGCTTTCTGCGAGACCAGTGGCCTGTGAAAGACGGAACAATTCAACGTCACCGGCAACGACCATAGCCTTTGGTGACCAGGTTTATAAAATGAGTAATCTCTCTCAATGGCCGGAGGTCCCTTTTGCGTTCACTGCCATTGGTTATCGCCAGAGTGATCGACGGCACGATTGATGTAGCCGCCCGAGAGTTTTCTTCTTCTTATCTGCCGGAATATTGAGAAGATGGCGTCGATTGACGCACAACTGGGGCTACTCGCGCCTGCAAAGGTCTTTGATGACGACAAGCTCGTTGAGTACGATGCGCTCTTGCTCGATCGGTATCTCTATTCTGCAGGATTTGCACGGAGAAGACATTCGTGAATGTGCGATGTTTTTCTCTTTTGCTGGAAGTGCCTGGAACCCTTTTCATGAATTTACAATGTTTTTATTTATACACAACGTCAAAATTAGATTAGTAAGCCGTGATTTGAATTGTTGAACCTTTACTGATTTTTTAATTTCACATATTTGAATTTAGTGTGGCATTAACAGAAGTTAGAATTTGAGTTGAAAATTAAATTTAAATTCTTCAAGTAATGCATTTAAACTTTCAATATACTATATATCCCAAAGAGTAATATTGTTTACCGTGCACTCCAAAATCTTCAATTTTGTTCTGGAGGAGTTAGTCTGATACTCAAAGATTGGTTCATCTTGCGGCTTACATCCCTTTCGGGTATGTCCTGAACGCACCAATCTCAACTTTCCCAGTGTTCTTGTTGGATACATTTCTGGAAACCATTTTGTTATTGGGGTTTGCTAGAAGTCCTATAGCTGTGGGTAACAACGACGTTACATTTTTTATTTGTTTTTTCTTGACTTTCTATTTTGTTATTATTTCACACAATGATATTAATTGTCAAACAATGACATCATTACATTGTCATATATAATGTCATTGTATATTACATTGTTGTATAATGATATTATAAAACATTGTCAAAATGTGTTTTTCTATAAACACAATGTCATTTTTATATTATTGTCATGGTTTTTAACAACAGTCATTTTTATAATATTGACATTGTTATGACAGTCATTGACTTCGACATTGACATTGTCTTTGATACAATGTCATTTTTGATAGCATTGAAATTGTCATTGTCATTTTTACAATGTCATTTTTGTAACATTGACATTTCTATTATATGACATTGTCACATATCTCAATGTTATCATAAAAAACAATGTTACTTCTCGACATGTATTAATGTCATTTTTATAGCATCGAAATTGACATTGTAATTATTACAATGCCATTTTTTGAATCATTGACAGTGTCATTCTTACAATTTTTCAAAGCATCACTGTTGACATTTTGGTTGTCATTATTTGACATTGTTTCATTTTTTTAATATTATAATACATTATCAACAATGTGTTTTTCTACAAAAGCAATATTTTTTTTTTCACAGTATTGTCATTTTTTGAAAAATGTTACTCCTTATTTCTTATAGCATGGATTTTGTTATTGAAGCCTGCACACACACTTAATAGTGATGACATTTACTAAATTGGTACTCTGTATATCGAAGAACTTCTGTACATCTCCGAATAACAAAAATGGGATACATTAAAACGGAACTTAACACACCAAAAACAAATCAAATGCAAAACTAGGGAAAGTAAAAACATAGAAAACGAATCTGGCATATAGAGGATATAGAAGCATCAAAAGAAAATGAAAAGGACACAAGTAGGGTCGATTGCAAATCCACAAAGAAAGGTGCATAGGAAGGAAAGAAGTAGCAAAATAAATCGAGTAGCCCCAATCGATCCCAGATGCTCTCCATCATAGCTAAAGTCGAGCTTCACTTGCCTGAGCTAAGCGTCGCTACGTCGAATCGAGCTTCACTTTATCTGATCTAAGCATCCCCCCACGCAGGACCGAGCTCAGACAAATCAAGGTCAACATCACCAAGGTCCGTTACAATAACCAACTATCATTGTACACATGTGACTTATCCATGAGTTTTGCTAGAAAGGGACAATCATCCATATGCCAAGTACCAATCAATCAATCTCTCACCAATCAGCCCACACATTTGGCACCTTATTGGACCAACTATTTTACTTATTCACCCAGTATTAGATATTTTAGACTTTAGTATAGATAATCTCCTTCCAACTGATGCAACATATGGAAATGTATCCAAAATCCACTTTCTCGCATAACGTTACTCTACCGACTTTTCTACTCAATTCCTACTTGTGCTTTTCCATCCCTCTACTCGAATCTTACTACCCCGGTCTCTAAAGACCATCATTTGGTGCTTTCATTGAGAGCCGAACACAAGGCCTCCCACTTATCAAACGGGTGATCTAACCAACTGAGCTACTATAAATCCGAGCACCAAATGATGATTGATTGGTACTGAGTCTATGAATGATTTTCCTTTGCTAACAAAATGTATGGATGGGCTACACATGTAAAACGGTTGTTTATTATTGTAATGGACTTGGTAATGTTAGCCCTAAAGTTGATTATTCCTTGGCGACGTCCTTGATTTGTCTGGGATGTTTGTGCTGAAATGACTAAGTCCACTCTCCACACATCTGTGCAGAACGCTTAGCTCAGTCCGGTGTGAGGGGCGAAGATGCTTAGCTCATATAAGATGATACTCAACTCGATGTAAGCGTAGCGTCACTTATCTCAGCCAAGATTAAGCCCGACATCAGCTATGATGGAGCTCAACCCAAGTAGTACTTGACTTAGTTGTGATGGTGTTTAGCTCAGGTAAAATGAGCTCGACTTCAGCGGTAGTTTTGGGGTTGTCTTGTTGACTTCGAGTATTTGACACTCGATTCGACCTTGGCTATGATTCCATTGACTAGTTTTTTACTTCAACCTTGGCTCAGCCTTAGGCATAGTTTTAGGTTTATCTCATTGATTTGAGAATTTGTTATGGGCTCGACTTTGGTGAGCTCGGCATTGGCTAGATGATAATGTCTTAGTTAATTACGGAGGTATGTTCATGTAGATTTGTGACCTCTGAGATGTGTGGGATTATACTCCATCACGAGTCAACCACTCAGGCAAGAATCTCATTTGAAGTGTTAGACGCGCCCAACATGGGAACTTATTTCCAATAGGACGACACCCCACCCTTGAGCTTTGATTACATTCTGATGGAAAGAGAGTGAGATTTTATCCCAAACCATTGCTTGGAGTTGAACCAGAGACCCCTCTCTTGTGGCACCCACTTCCTACTGGGTGAGCTACGCCACTCGGTTGGGGCACTCCTTTCCATGATTGTAACGAGGGTCGTCTCATTAAAAACTCCTCTAAGAAAAAAAATCCAATGGGAAAAAATTATAGCAGAGGAAAGAGAGTATTTTCAGCCTTGAGACAACTTCTGGAAAAGAAGGTGATGTCCCACTACATAAGGATGAGTGACTGAGCTAGATGCCCTTTATTGGTCCGCGTGTTTTCTAGAATTCCTTGTGACTTTTCATGTTCTTGCATGTTAGTTCCTACTTCAATTCCACATCCGTAACGGATAATCGATTGAACTTTTAAAACAACCCTGGAAGTTAATTTAAAGTAATACTGAGCCTTAATAAAAGAGGTTGAGGTTATTGGAATTTGTACTTTGAGTTGCACTTAGATTCTTTGGGCCCGTT